GAAATAGAGTCGAACTCTAACCTCAATTTACTGTTTTCTACAATTTCGTTGAGGGATTATTCGATTTGCCATTTCCTTCTCTTAGTTTCTGATTTATTGCATATCTCGCATGCTGAATAATGTTTCTAACATTGAGGAATCTAGACTATAATGCTAACCAACTTGGTGGTGAGGAAGGTAAGTTCTCATGTATGAATTGGCACATCGCCTTGCACTGTGGCAGATCTTACATCAGATTCCTCTTGCCGAGGAAGACCATATGAGAAATGGGTCGTCCAACTTAAATTTTAGAAGGAACTTCTTGACAAGCTTATTTATATTCGACAAGAACAACTTAAGAGAGTCAAATTTAAAAAGTGTATTTACACGGAATTGATCTCCGAAGCACCAGGTGACGTGCGTAATCAGTTTTGTAACTAACTATTATCTCTCACCATTTATTGTAATGTGTCATGTCACCCGAGTGCTGAGCACCAGTGCTTAGGAAATCGGTACTGTATATTTAAAAATCTAGATAATCAATTCAAAGTATTTCTTTCAAACATAGAATGAACAACTTTAATTGGGTTGTGTTAAATAAAATGTACAGCCAAAATACTTTTTATGCATCTAACAAATTTCCAACCCAATGGCTTCGACATGTATAACACTAGTCATGAAACCTATCAATAAACCCAGGCTGGGCAGCACTTAGATTATCACGCGGTCGAGCTCTGCTAGTTCTGCCATTTCCATGTTGTACATTGCGAGGGGACAGGTAGTGATGATTCCCGGGTTGTTGTTCTCGTCTAGCCTTGGCCTTGGCCTTGGCCTTGAGCTCCTTTGGTTTCTTTTGGATGGTACTAATACGTTCCAAAGTCTCCAATACTTCTTCCATCCCTGGCCGGCATTTTTGGTCGGTTTCAAGACATTTTAGTATGAGTCGAGTTATTTCGAATGCACCTTTACGAGGGTACTGATTGTTGAGCCTTTGATCCATTATTTCTCTCCACTTTTTTTTATCTGGTAGAAATGGCCTCGCCCAATCTACCAAATTAATCTGCCCATTGGGCCTATGCAGATCGAGTACCCGTTGGCCTGTTATTATCTCTAGTAAGACCACTCCAAAACCGTACACATCACTTTTCAGATACAAATGACCTACAAATCCAGTATTATATCTTAAAAATCAATTTCTGAAAATTTAAATTGTACAACAAAAAATGCCGCATGTTATTAGGTAAGAAAATGTTTTAGACAATTACCCGTGGCCACATACTCAGGAGCCGCATATCCGTACGTCCCAACAACATTTGTTGTAATGTGTGAATTACCATTGACCGGACCTAACTTAGCAAGTCCAAAATCCGAAAGCTTTGCATTTAATTCCTGTGCAATTAAATTCATGAGAAAATTGAATTCTTTTTAGATATGGATTGAAGGGTGCTGAAATAACTAATTACCCTATCGAGTAAAATATTGGCAGCCTTAAAATCTCTGTAAATGACTTGCTTTTCAGTTGTGTGCAAAAAAGCAAGTCCACGAGCTGCCCCTATTGCTATTTTCATCCTTGTATCCCAAGAAAATGGCTCTGCTGCATCCTCTGAAAATGCACCACAAAATCATGTCATTGACGGCTGAAAAACCTGCCTTATTCTAAAGGTTGAACCCCGCCCCGTCCCTAGAGCATTATGGAGGAGGTAAATCACGGAATGTGTCTCAACAGATCAGGGTACAAGAGCTACCATACTGGTTCTCACAAAATCACATCATCGATGGCTGAAAAAACCTGCCTTATTCTTCGTCTATTGAAACGTGGTCCTCATGAAAATATATTTTACTTCAATTTCTAGTTACTAGTCGGGAAATAGAACATGACTTCAAAAGGTTAGTGCAGTCAAAATAATTTGAATAGTTTTCATTTCGCTCATTTGATTGTTGAGAACGAACTTGTTACTCGAGCAATAAATTGAAAATCAGCCATACGATTTTTTCTTAAATTTTTAGGCGAAAACAAGAGCAAGAGGGACAGACAGTGGGTTGCAACTTGCAATGGTAAAAGGATAGTAGTTACTAGTTAGTGCTTACTTCTGAAGAGATGAGTTTCTAAACTTCCCTTCTGCATGTACTCATAGACCAATAGGAAATGTTTTTCCTCCCAACAATAACCTAATAGTTTGACAAGATTAGGATGGCTAAATTTTCCCAAGAACTTTACTTCTGCCTGCACCAAGAAATTCATAGTGTATAAATCATAATGTACAATCAATAATTGCATCAAAACAAAGAAATTAGGAGAATAAATTAGGAAACTTTTTTTCAAGATATAGCTAAATATTAGAATTCTTTTGGTTGTTTACATTTTAAATTAATATAAGATTAAAGTGTCAAAGAGTCGAAGCAGTACTATAAAGTTTCATATCCAACATGTTATTTATGTACCTCTCTCACAACTTAGGAATTTTGCGATTAGGTGTTTGTTTGGAGAAAGATTGAAAAGTTTCTAAAAAGTTGAGATTAAAGTCAATAATTATTTTTAATCAAACATTTCATTGAATCCACAATTTTTATTAATTTTTCATCCGCACATTTCATATTTTTATAAATAAAATTGTCAAACAAACCCTTGACAACAAAATTTATTTAATAAATTTATTGTTTGAAGAAGTCAACAATATTACTTGACTATTAATTATAAATCTAAAGTTTTGCCAAACAAACCCTAGTTGACAAAATTTATTGTATGAAGAAGTCAACTCGACTATTAATCTAATCAAGCTTCAACTTTTGACCATTTCTAATGTTAGTGCCAAAACTATAGTATAATAACTTTTTTGACCCGTAACTTAATGTGTGAGGTCTCCATTTCTT